GGCCCCGCTGCTAGGACTGCCTCCGCAGGCTGCAAGCGCCAGTCCACCCAGGGGCCTCACTGACCACCTCCCGGGCAGGGCTGGTTGTTTTGCCCATTTTACAGATGGAGGAGCCGCGGCACGGAAGGGTGCAAGGACTCGCGCAGGAGAGCCCGATTGGGAAGCGAGAGTCAGAACCAGAATCGGGTCGAGCCTCCCTGGGCGCCCCGCCGTGCCGAGGCGGTCCTCCCTCTGGCCTCTTCTCCAAGTCCGCAGCCTACCTCCCGGCAGAGGCCCCGTCAAGCGCTCCTTGGCTCCTTCCTTCCGCACCTGGCGCTGCAGACCAGACCTCTGCGCGGCTTCTGGTCACTTGGGTCAAGGAAGGAGGAAGAAAGGGGCCAGAGCAACCGCTTCCACCCCAACCTGACCGTCTTGTCTGGCACCCAATCACGGCCTGGCCCTGGAGCTTCCTGGTCCTCAGAGCCCCCACCCGCCTCCATGCAGGACACACCCCGGGCCTGTCATGGTGGAGGAGCCACCCACCACCCACAGCAGGGCATGCCTCCACATGCAAGCACGCGTGACCAGTGTGCACGAACAGGTGTGCACGGGGAACGCATGGGCTCCTGGGGCAGGGCTGTGTGATCTCCACCCTTCAGATAGCCCAGTGGTTCCCCGCGTGGGGCACACGCCCCACAGGGGGGCAATTTGATAGTTAAGGGGGCAATTCGAAAATGAGTTATTAACAGTGAATTTTTTCATTTCTTATGGTTCTAGGGGCCTCATATACAGTATATAAATATATATTTTGACATATTTATGCATTTCAATTCTCTATTATGTTTTGAAACTTTATTTTCTATTTTTTCATATCACTTCATATTTTTTTCCAATAATTTCTTAGTGATTTCTTCCTCACTACTTCAACTGTCCTTTCATTCTTTTATTTTTCTCTTTTATGGATGCCTTGTTTTTTGGAAGCTTGTTTAGACCAAGTTAATGGCCTTTTAGGCTTCCTGCACGTGAATAGTTCACTTTTTGAATAATGAGAATTGTATGTCACAGGGGCATCAGGATTTTAGAGATGCTTAGGTGGGGCATGGCCAAAAGAAGGTTGGGAACCACTGGTCTAGACCGAAGGCAGTGCTGATGAACACATGGTATTGGGGTGGTGCTGAACAAGGGGTGCAGGGACCATATAGACTCCAGCAGCTCCCCTCCAGGGGCCCAGATGATGGTCCTTCAGAGGAGACAGAGGCTTAGGAAAGTCCTGGGGGGGGGGGGCATTAACTGCCTCTGGCAGAGGAGATGACTGCTGAGCTGGATTCTAAGAAATAAGTCCAGGCCCACTGGCTTGGCTCAGTGGATGGAGCATCAGACCGAAGGGTCCTGGGTTCGATTCCAGTCAAGGGCTCCTCCCCAGCCCCGGCCCTGGTCAGGGCGCATGCAGGAGGCAACCAATCGATGTGTTTCTCTCACATCGATATTTCTCTCTGACTTTCCCTCTCCCTTCCACGCTCTCTAAAATCAATGGGAAAATATTCTCAGGTGAGGATTAAAAAAAGAAAGAAGTCCAGGAAGGGAATTCCAGGCAGCAGGGAACATGGCACGTTTGCATTGTAAGAGATATTCTGAAAGGGGAGTAGAAAGGGCTGGGGAGAGGGAAGTAGAGTCACCCAATGAATGTGGGCTCAGATGTGGCATTTGGGGCCTGGGGACTCCTCTCGCTTCACCCCCCTTACCTCATCGTGTGAGGCAGAGGGGCCCCTGGCTGCAGTGACTTGCCCCAGCTCAGAGCAGGTTCCCTCCCCCCGGGTATGTCAGTCCTGTCAGCTTTTGTAAAGCTTCAGTTTTTTGGGTTTTTTAAAAATTGATTTCAGAGAGGGAGAGAGAGAGAAATACCAATGATGGGAGGAAATCGATTGGCTGCCTCCTGCACAGCCCCACTGGGAATCAATACCATAACCCGGGCATGTGCCCTGACTGGGGATGGAACCATGATTCCTTAGTCCATATCCACGCTCAGCACTCAGCCACACCAGTCGGGCCATGTCAGCTTTTTAATAACATAGGATTTGACTGGCCTCTGGGGGCCTGGAGTCAGTCCTCTGGGTCTGCTGGGGCGTGTGCTGTCACCTGACCTCAGGATGGGTGCCAGGCGCTGGGGAGAAGTGTGGGTCGCCTCTGCCCTCCAGCACCTGGCACAGCCCTGACAGGTGGCTGTGTGGCAGTGATCTCGGAGGCCAGGAAGGCCGGCCGCAGGGCTGAGTGGGCCCATTTCAAAGCTCGCTGGGCTGGGGGAGGGCGTTTACACCCCATCTGGGGGCAGGGACTGGTGGAGAAATCGCAGGTGCTTCTCGGTGGCGGTGGCGAAAGCACTGTAACTTGAGAGCTTGTGCAAGTCACTTCTCCAGCCCTGGGCTTCCTCTTCTGTAAAAGAGGGAAGCGGCAAGAATCTAACGAGCTCCCTTCGCAAAGATGCCAGCCACCCCGCCACGCACCGCCTCCCTCCCCGCTGCTCCCTAGGCCTGTGTGGCCTTCGCTGGCGCTAGATGGGCTGCTCATCTCCTTAGCAACCAAGGGAATTTACAAAGGGGAATGTAGTGGCTTTAGTCTTTCAGGGGTGTTTGCATTTTCAAAGAGAAAGAGTAAAGCTGAAGAATCTTAAGAAAAATGATCTAATGGTGAAATGTTGTGCTCTCTGAGTTTACAGAGCCAAATTCTGGCATCAGCCCTGGCCCGTGTGGCTCAGTGGATAGAGCATCAGCCTGCGGACTGAAGGGTCCTGGGTTCGATTCCAGTCAAGGGCACATGCTGGGTTGTGGCCTCGATCCCCAGTGGGAGGTGTGCAGGAGGCAGCCAATCAATGATTCTCTCTCATCATTGATGTTTCTATCCCTCTCTCCCTCTCCCTTCCTCTCTGAAATCAATATATATATACATATATATATACACACACACATATATATATTAAAAGTAAATTTAAAAAAACAACAACAAATATTGGCATCACTTCGGGGAGAAGGTGGCACCCAGAATGCCCCTAAAACTAGCTAGGATTTCAGGGGGTGGATTTCTTTCCATTTCCCACTCCCACCCTCCACCCCTATAAGAAACAAAGCTAGTCCATCTCCAGGCAAATACACAATCAGTCCTAGATGGGACCCTAATCTAGCCCCAGTCAATTAGCTCCCTGAGCACAACCAGGGTGCTCCCGGCAGCTGGCCAGGTGGGTACAGTCCCTTCCTTCAGTCCCCGAGCTTCAGGGTCGGAAGGGACGCGGGTGAGACAACATCTGCTTCTTGCCATCCTGCCGCCAGCCCACAAGGACTTCTGGACAGTTACTCCAAAGCTCAGGCTGCCAGACCCATCTGCAGCCCTGGTGGCTGATGGCTTAGCCCTCGTAAGTATGGCCCCGAAGGAAAGGAGAGGAAGAGAAGGGGAGAACTGGGGTGAGCTCAGTGTGGTCTCCCACTCTCATCCTAGGGCTTAGGTTGCAGGTTTGAGCCTACTTTTCATCGCCCCAGGGGCACCAGGAGGGCTCTGTCAGTTCTGAGGAGAAAGTGTATCCTTCTGGTAAGAGCACACCATGCAGCAGACACAGGGCACCCACACGGCTAGCGGGCCCACCATGAGCAGTGTCATTGGTCGATGTCAAGGATGAGGAGTAGAGAGGCAGAAGACCTGGTTCCTGGTCCATCTTCATTAGCTAAGGGTCCCGGGACAAGTGATTTAATCCAAGTCTCAGCGTTCCCATCTGCAAAATGGGTTGCCATGAGGAATAACGCAGGATTATCATGGACTCCCTTGAGATAATAAACAGGAAGCATTTGTAGGAGGTAAAACATGACCTAGACATTGCACCAGACACACATTTCCTAGTTGACATACACCCAGGACTCACCCTCCCCTGCCAGACTCCCTACTGCTCACAAACTTCTTGTCCAGCGCTTTGAAGACCCCTCACAGACCATGGTATCAGGTCCAGACCCACACACGTACACACTGCATACTGTATAAATATAGGTTTTATTAATAACGGTGAAATCCCACAAATCAACCGGCATCCTGTGTGATGGGAAGAACCGGTGCCAGGGAGAGAAGGTGGAGCGGTGTATGCACAGTAATAAGAGGGAAAGAGCAGCCAGGCCGAGATGGCTCAGGGGTGAGCGTCCACCTGTAAACCAGGGCACATGCCTGGGTTGCGGGCTCCATCCCCAATGGGGCGTGTGCAGGAGGCGGCCAATTAGTGATTCTCATTACTGCTGTTTCTATCTTTCTCTCCCTCTCCCTCCCTCTCTGAAATAAATAAAAATATATATGTTTGTTTGTTTTTAAAGAAAAGAGTCCCAGGGAAGGAAAATCAGACATGGAATGAGCCTGGACCCACCAGGAAAGCAGACGCGCTGAGGGGTGGTGCCTGACCCCCGGGCTCAGGGCGTGTCCGGGGCAGAGAGATGGCAAGAGTGTGAGTGAGCAGCACGTGGCTGGGGAAGGAACGGAGGAGTGAGAATGCCAGCGTGGCACACGGGGCCCTGGGTGGCAGTGGCCAAGGCCAATGGATGCCCCTGCTTGTGCTTGTGTCAGGCCCTGAACTCCGGGGAACGAATGCCCTGTGCCACCCCTGGCTCGGGAGGAAGGGAAGCCTGGGGGGTAGAACCTACAGACCTGAAGATGCCCTGGACAACATAGCCTCATCCTTCCTGTCAGAGCAGGACCCCGGGAGGAGGGTGGCGCTGCCCTCCCTGCAGTGCCCGCCAGCACCAGGCCACCATCACGGTTCCTCTGAGCCCCCGGGGACAGCAGGTGTGAGGGCTGAGAGGCCTGGTCACGGGTCTGTGCCTGGACTCCTGAGAGGCGGGCATGCAGGCCCGGGGGGGAGCAGAGGAGGGAGGCCTGGGCTTCTCCCACTCACCCGGAGTGGAGTGCATTCTGCAGTCGGGCCGGTGGGCGAGACAGACGTTATTGCAGAGATGCCACCAGGCCCTGCCCGGCCAGAGGGGCGGGAAGGGGAAAGGGGATCCCAGGGCCCCACGCGGCTCCCATCCCCTGGACTGGGAGGGTGGTGCAGACAGAAACCCAGCTTCCGTCCAG